ATTCAATCGTAGATGTAAGAAAATTAAACTAATAAAGAAACATATTGCATATCTTATAGTTTTACAATATGGGATTTTTTATACTATCATTGATTGTATTGGTTTACAAATATGTACTAAGATTTTGTACCTACATGCTTTAGTTTTGTATATTACATGTTATCGTAGTTATATACAAGTGCATAAATTATTTCTTTGAAACTGAGTTGATTCATTATATCAATTTTCTTGGATGTTTTTTCAAGATACTTCACTCATTTATTCATTTTTTTATATGATTGATTGTTATTTGTCACTTTTTTTTCTTTCAATAGGGTCACCTTATTAAAAAAAAAAAAAAGCCTTGTATATTAGTCATGGATTTGGATTGCTAGCAATCACGAATTAATTTTGCTCTAGATTGTTGAATAATTCAAATCAAAAAAGAAAAAATACAAACATGAGAAAAGAAGGGGCTAGGGTTTCATAGATCACTTTATTCTGAAATTTATCATTTAACCTAAATATAAAAATATTATATATAGATTAAACTAAAAATATTATTCTACTCTTAATAAATAAAATAAAATAAATATATTTCTTAACATGTTCCCTTAAACTCACAATATGATTGTTACAAGCATGAGAGTATGCCAACTAGAAAATAAAAACAGGAAATAAAATGTGATTTAGTAAAGAAATCTGCAATCTGATTAGTACTTAAAAGTGCATTTTTATCATGGTTTTATCAAAGTAATGGAGTCATGCTTGAGATGATGATGAGTAAAATGACTCACAATATGATTGTTACAAGCATGAGAGTATGCCAACTAGAAAATAAAAACAGGAAATAAAATGTGATTTAGTAAAGAAATCTGCAATCTGATTAGTACTTAAATGTTCCACAAAGAAAAAGAAATAAAAGGCAAAGTAATGGAGTCATGCTTGAGATGATGATGAGTAAAATGATAATCGATCTCAATATACTTAGTTCGTTCATGAAAAATCAAGTTATGAGCAATCTGAACTCTAGTTGTCAGCAAGTAACCAAAATAACCAAATAATCTCTTTGATAATAGATGTCATAACATGATATTCTACTTTGATTGAATATTGAGAAATAATAAATTGTTTCTTGTTCTTTCAAGAAATAAGAAAATCACCTAAAAAAATATAAAAACTAGTAACAAACTTGTGATATGTGGGGTCACTGTTATAATCAGCATCAAAGTATGTACGCAACTCTAAAAAAGAGATAGATAGAAGTAAAAGATTTTGAAAAACTGTAAAAAAATATAAAAACTAGTAACAGACTTGTGATCTGTGGGGTCACTGTTATAATCAGCATTAAAGTATGCATGCAGCTCTAAGAAAGAGATAGATAGAAGTAAAAGATTTTGAAAAACTGCATCCTGAAAATATCATAAAATATAAACAATTACTACTCAATAAACAATAGTAAAAAAAAGCAACAAACTAACTAACAACATAAATATCATATGCAATATTTGGATGAGTAATAGTGAGATATATCAATACTCAGTTCATAGCATGGTTTCAAGTTTTAATTGTAACAAAGATGACATTAAATTTTTATTTTTTCAAAATGATTTTACTCCTTTTAAGCCATATATGTATCTATACTATGTACAATACAAGGCGCATCACCACTTTGGTGTTCCATCAAACACTATATACCTATATTATTGTCCTTTCCTTTTACTAAGCATATGTTATAAGAATTTCCTAAATGTCATTGCATTATTGATCTAATAAGTGTTAGTCTTTCATTTATGCTTAAAAAAATTAGGTTGTTTGTTGTGCAAGGTTACAAGAAATATTTTTACAACCCATCACCATCATTTATATTTGTGCTTTGAAAAAAAAATTATCTTTTTTATTTTTGTCTAAAAGTGCATGTACTTCACTCATATCCGTTAAATGATTTTTCTAGCTTAAGAACATTATTAACTTCAACTTCTAGTTCAAAGAGTTTCCTTTTAAACTTTCTCACATTCACACATAAAACTTATATTGGTTTTTTTAATATCGGATGAATGGTTTAAATCCAATAGATATGTTCATTTAATAGATAAGTCAATGGCATTTCTATCCTCATTTTTCATAGAAAATTTGGAAATCTTATTTCTATTTGCATACATTTTTGTTTAAAATTTTTGTATGAGACTTTATGACTTTGCTTTATTTGGTGTCATTAGCACCAAACGATCCAACTTATACTATTTTGCTTTATATTTTCCTTCACCCTTGCAAAATATACTATGAAATCTTACTTCGTCAAGGCATTAAAAGGTGGCCTGTAAAGTAACATATAGAACCTATCTAGTTTCTACTAGATTTGCTAATTTATGGGCCAAAACATTGCCATCTCTTTTAAAATGTTTCCCACTAAAATCATTGAAACAAGAAGTTAAGTTATCTATATCAACTACAGCAACCACCAAGGATGAGCATGAATCATCTTTAAAGGAGTTGTTTAGTTAGTTCACCAAATACAAGGAGTCTGATTCCAATGTAATATTAAACCAGTTCACATCCCTTATTAATTGATTATCATAAAGAGCAACACATGCTTCTGCTAGAACTAACAAAGAATGATGAATATTTTTATAAGCATTTGATAGAACTTGTCCACATGTTAAGTCTTAAATACTTTATTACAAATGGAGTATTAGAAGTTAGCAAAAACTACTCTTGTTATGTTAAAAGAAATACTAGTTAATGATCATCATGCTTTGAAAAGTTATGCTAGTTCTTTTAGTTTTGAAAGGTTATGTTATTACAAATGCAATAGTCAATTCCTCTTTTATGTTAAATTCATAATGACAAATTAAAGGATTGGTAGCCAAAACATACATGAAAGAGAATATTTTTTATATTAGCAATTAAAATTAACATTAATTGATGAACATACTAAAAATCTAGGGTGCATATTGGTTAATCATAGACCTTTGACTTTTTAAATTGCAATTTCATCCTTATAAGTTATATGATTATGATTCTATAGGTTGAGATGTCTTTTCATTTATATTTTCTCTTATACATAAAATGTTTGGGATATTTTGATAATGAATTAAAGATCAATTTTATAAAAATAAAAATTTATTGGTACTCAAAAAGAGAAATTAAAAAAATAAGGACTAAAAGTAACAAACAAAACAAAACAGACCCCATATTGATATTGGTATGAAAAATCTTAATTTGCTCCTCTACATTTTAGTTTATCTAATTATTTAGGCTTTCAAATGTTAACATTTTATATTTTGATCTAAAACTTTATTTTTCTTACGTTTAAGTACTTGAAAGATGAGAGAAGAAAGAGAAAGTCATAATAAAATATTAAAAAGAGAGAATATTATAAGTTAATGATATTCTAGCAAACAAGCAGGGTGATCTCGAGGTCAACGTGCTGGACTTGTTTATGGGAGTTTGATGAAGGTGGTTTTTTTCTCTCACGATGTCAAAAAGAATAATTAGGACAAATATATTAAAAGAACTAGAGTGTTCACAATATTTTTTCCTATTTTAATCTTTAAACTTTTTTATTTATAATTTCATCCTTCTAAGATATATGATCATGATTTTATAGGTTGAGATGTCTTTTAATTTTTATTTTTTTAAATATACAAAGTGTTTTGGGATTGTGTAATGGTGAATTGAAGATTGATTGCAAGATAAAAATTTATCAGTAGTTAAGAAAAAAATTGAAAGAATGAGGATTAAAAACACAAACAAAACAACCCACATTTTGATATTGGCTTAGTAAATTTTAATTTTCTCCTTACTCTTTCTAGTTTATCTATTATTTAGTCTATGAAATTTTAACATTTCACTTTGTGATCTAAAACTTTTTTTTTTTACATTTCAGTCCTTAAAAGTTGAGATATGAGAGAAAAGGTAGTCAAAAATATTGGAGAAAGAGAAAGCTATCCATTATTGACATTCCCACCACTAAAAAAAATAATCTTGTATCAGTGGGCTAGGTTTTTATAAGAGAAAAATAAAGTTAGTTTTTCCTTCTTATAATGCTGGAAAATATAGATTGGTGTCGCCGCGAAAGATTTTTTTTACTTGAATTTTTTATTTTTTAAAGAGATTATATTTTTTTTATTACAAATGGTTTTTGAAAGGCTTTTATGATGTTTTTAAATGTTTTAGGTGGAAAATAAATTGAAAATGAGCTTTTGGGATCCCAAAATTAATCCAATGGTGATTGAAAAAAATTTACTCGCTGTTATAATAGATGACTTGTCATTCAGTATAAAAAAATAAAACAAATAACACTTTGTTTATTTGAAAAAAAAAATAACTCAAGTTCATGGGTCTAGGTTTTATGGTCCGAGGGGGCTGTGCTCTTGAATGGATGGTAAGATATGTAGGATTAACTTGTCGGATTTAATAGTGCACAATCTCTTTTTTTATTTTTATTTTATATGTGGATTATTTAAAAAAAATGATAATTAATATCCTCTTTTCAAGTATTTTTATTTTTTATTTTTTTATTTAAATTTAAATTAATACTGGCTTTTTTTTAATTGTTCAATTCACTTTTTAAATATTAGGGTTTTTTATAATTACTTTATATTTTTATAATGTTTCAATGTAATTTATATTTGATATAAATAAATTGTATTTACATGATGTATTTATAAAAATAAAAAATATTTTGCATCCATAAGAATAAAAGTCATTTGTTTCTTTGTAAGAAAGAATATCCTCTAAGATAAGATAAGATAAAATAAAATGTATAAATCTTAAAATAAAAATTGGGGTTAAATCTTCGCATTTGTAGCTCTCTTGATAGCATAGGTTTAAATGATTAAAGCGAAGCAAAAGCCCTGCGGCCGAGGTCGGCTTCTTTTGTGCTTCAGGTTCTGGAACCGTAACATATATATAACAACAAAGGGTACAGCAGTGTTTGAAAAAGCTACTTGATTGGGTTTTGAGGAGTACTCTCGTCAGCTTTGTACTCCTCATCGTGCAGAGCAGACAATTTATCAAAACCACTATGTCACTCCCTCTCTTTTTATTTTTCTCTCTCTCTTGATTTATGCTCTTTTAGAGTTTTGTCATGGATCCTGTGCATGTTCCCAACAAGAAGCACTCCCAATCCTGAAGCAAGCAGGCATTACACATTGAACTTGTAAACAGAGTGATTACAAAGGCTGTCTGACATTATTTAGAGCTAGCAAAGGCAAGTTCCTCCCTCCCAATGATAAATTAGCCACGGTCTCCAGGACCATAACACACATCCAAATAGGAGCATTTTGTTCTACACCAGTTGAGGATTTATTTAAATTTCAAGACCATGGCACAAGGGAGCTTCTATCTCACTCGTACAGTTTCTGGAGCTCATCTTTAAATTTGGACTTCAGCTGCTCCCTCTTTATCTTGAGGGAGGCGGTAACCAAGCCAGACTCGGGTGTCCATGGATCTGGCAGCAACTTGATCTTAGCTGGAGTTTCAAACTTGTCCAACCTCAAAGCTTTTGCTACCTGCAGAGATAGAATGCAATCAGATCTACAGCAAGGACTCTGTTTCTTCCACTAAATATATTAACAACTGCAAATGTGCTTGCCTTACATAAAAAAACCATAAACCTTTCATTGGAAATAAAGACAAATTCAAACAGATTCAAAAGGTCACATAATGAAACAATGTATAAGAATTTCCATCCAAGAATTTACATCAGGTACATCTTGACGGATGAGGCAAGCACATCTCGACAGAAGACTGGGAGACATAAATGAACATGTCATTCAAAGCATAGTCACAAAATCAGAAGCTATGGAAATATTCATTCATGTTTCATCTTGGAAATGTGACCGAGTTCACAACAATAAGAGAGTTCACACGTTTATTCAGCAGTTTTAACTAATCAAAACCATTTCAAATAGCTTTCCCGTAGAGAAGCAAAGATAATTCAAATCATAATCACCAAATCAGAAGGTATGCCAATATTCATTCAGGTTTGAGCTTGGAAAATAAATGAATTCAGCAATAATAAGAGCTCCCGTGTATCAAAGTTCTAACTAATCATAAGATTCAAATGGCTCTCCAGTAAGCAAGCAAAATAAACCAACCTTGGAAAGTGATTGTTCAACCTCACTGACAGCATCGGCTTCACTACACAGTTCAGAAAAGTTTTGGTGCTGAATGCCAGCTTCCTGGGCCCACTTCTCAAGTACGTGACGTGATGGAACAATTAGGGCAACACAATAGTTGTGGAAGGGATTTGCATGTACCATGATATTATCAACATAGTCACTCGACATTAATGCTGCCTCCACCTGCAATCAGGGCTCAAATCAACATTATTGGCACATAAATGCAGATGTATGTACCTTAGAAATACAATCACAAATTTTCAGATTAAGATTCATAAACACCTTTCCAAGAGAGATATATTCTCCATGTTGAAGTTTGACAATATCCTTCTTCCTATCAATAATTTCAAGGCATCCATCAGGGTGAAACTGCTCACAAAATGTGAGGTTCAGTTTGACCATAACTTGAAAAGGTAATTAATGTCATGAATAACAGCTTTTGGTTGATTGTAAATGGAAATTCTTTTTGGAGTATAGGCTAGTGCAAGTTAAGATGCAGCAACCTAAATAGATTTTTCAGAATTCTCTCTGAAAACCAAGCCTGGTTCAGATCGTGAAACTAAATAATTTTATCCTTAAGTAGAAAGATGTCATACCTTAAGGTAGCAACATGGAAGAGGAGGTCCAACACGGCCCACAGATGGGTCATCCCACTCAGTGTAAGCAGCTCCAGCACATGTTTCTGTCAACCCATATGCTTGACCAATTACAGCCCTGAAGACGATAATTGTGCACTGAATATCAACCTAAATTGATAACACTGAGAGTGGAAATATAGCATGTTATAAATACCATTTTACATAAGCAAACCATTTTAAGCACTGAAGGACTGATCTAGCATGGTAGAGAGCTTATTCTTACACGGTTTGCAGACATGCGTGAATGCATGTCATCCCAAACTTGTATTTCACGGATTTTAAAATTCAATAACACCACATGTCAACGTACATGTTTTATGTTCCCGATTACTGGTAATAAGTATCTAGGTTTTTTATCTCCACTATCTGACCATACAATAGCAGATCCTAGAGCGCAACAAAGTTACTTCCTGGTGTCCAGGATACAAGATGGTTTCTACCGAACATTGATTAGGTTCTGATGAATAGCACATCAAACTATAATATACTGTCTCCTAAAGATGACACTGGAAAAGGGAATGAAAGGAGTTACAAAAGAAAAAATCAGAATGAATATAGAAGTTTCTTCCTTTAATTATCTTGGTATTTGTAAATGAGAATGTCATTACCCCATGCAGATGTTGGTGAACCGTTGTAAATCCCCAGATAAAGGGGCTCCACCACATAGGATGAATTGCAAACGAACTCCAAGTATGGCACGTATTTGTTTGAAGGCAATGACATTCCACAGCATTCTCTCCAGTGCCGAAGTACCAAGCCAGCTTCCTTCTATGGCTGCCATTCGGCGCTTATATCCAATGTTGAAAAACTTCTTTGCTAACCCTCCCTTCTCCTCAACCTGATGTGAATCAAAACGGCATTAAAGAAATTATTTACCTAACGATGAGGGCATTCTAAACTTGCACAAATGCATTAATAACCAGTACTGTAGAAATATATAGTGCAGATATTAATGTTGATTCAGTTCGCACCTTTTTTAGAACACCATCCCGGACACGATCAAGTATGGCTGGAACTGCCGTCATGAGAGTAGGATTTAATATAGATGCATCACCCTTGGTTCCTTTCTTAATTTTGTTAGAAGTGTCTGTCAAAGTCAATGCCGAACCGTAGCCAATAGCACAACCTGCAGACAACATTACAGACTGGACAACCACAAAATTTAGTATTTATATGTTATATGTTACAAGTAGCACAGGAAAGAAATACATTCAATGGAGTACCTCAGCTGCCAGTTCAAAAACATGGGCTAGGGGCAAATAAGCCAAATATACATCATCGCTTCTCAGTTTTGGAATCACCATCATAACGGCTGCAGCAGTGGCTACAATGTTGCCATGAGTAATCATGACTCCCTAGGATGTAACCAGAATGCAGGGTCAGATCAAAAGAAAGCATGCAATTGTAGTGATGAAGTAATCATGAAGTTGGAATTCAGTACTAGTAGGAAAAAAGTAGAGGAAAATAAGAATGCAATGCTCTTTACTACATCCCTACTTGTCTCAATATACAAAATTAAGCCTTTGCATTCTTACGAACAACTTGCACTTGGAATGTCATTGTTTTCTGTGTCTTGAAAAATAAAATACTGGACCCAAGCCTATTTTCTGTTTGGACATATGCAAACAGAGAGTGATCTTCCTATTCATCTTCTATACAGTAAGGTCTATTGGCAAGATATACGATGCATTGAGTTCAATCAGTGATGCAAAATGTGAGAAACTACAGCGCTGGACAAACCTTTGGCTGGCCTGTGCTGCCACTTGTGTACATAACAACAGCAATTCCATTCTTTGTAGGTAAGCTTGGAGGAACAGGACTGTTCTTCCCCAGGTCCTCAACTTCAGAAAAAGACGAAACCTTCCAATAGCTTGTGCTTGCAGATAAGCCCAAATCATTTTTAGTTTCTCCATCTTCAAAGTAAATGACATTGTTAATAGTTGTTATTTTTGAGCTTATTGCAGCTAGCGTTTTCAACTGCTTGGGATCACAGATCAGGGTAGATACTTGAGTCTGTCCGCATTTTCAAAATTCAAGTGAGAGCCATAAGAATCTGGACTTTCATCGAGAAAAAAGTAAATGATTTAAATGCCACAAATTAGTTACATTACAGATAAACTAATCAGGTAACGCAAGTGCACGAAGAGAATCTCATACCTCATTGAGGGAATGGATCAAAGCATCCACACCTAGAGAAGCATAAATAGTGACAACAGTAATGTTCTGCCGAAAGCATCCCTGTACTCCAACAAAAACAACATTCAGTTTTGGCTGTGCATCCATCATTCATCAGGGATAAAAAGAAAAGGAAACATATAAGCACTGCAAACACGAGGATACCTGAAAGGCAATCAACCACTCAGCCCGAGTATCAGCAAGAATTGTAGCACGAGTATCCTCATTATGCCCTAACATAATAAGCCCGGATGCAAAGTTACAAACACGATCAAAAACCTGTCCATAGGACTGCCATTCATAATCACCCAGGTGCAGCTTCTCAAACTTCCTACCATCACTAGCAGTAACAAATTCCTTACTAATTAGCTTCCTTGTTCCAAGAAATCGTTCTGGCCAATGCTTTCTACAAGACTGCTCAAATAGAGCTGCCATGGTCGTTGCCCCTTTCCAAGGGACTTCAACTAGCTCAGCATGCCGGGCATTGCGAACTGCATAACCTGCCTCACCGCCTACCTCTACCGGGACTCCTCTCTGTTTCACCTTTTTCTTTCCCATGAAGATAGCAGAAAGTAATATAGGTATGAGGATAGCAGCAGCAGCAGCAACCACAATGCCATATGTTCCATAGCCTTTCCCAACTGACGAGTAATCATTAGAGTCCAATTTATCTAGAACAGGTGAGCTCGGAAAACTTCCCTCGGAATCAGCCATTTTCAATGCTTCTTATATGGTGGTTTAAAGAATCACCTGGGATGGATGACAAGAATTAGAAGCGCCATCATCTCCCATCTTTCGAAAATGAGAAACAAACAACAGAGCTACAAGGATTTGTACCAAATATAATCCATTTAAAATAAAGGAGAGACAGCACAGTGGATCTAAGGATGTTCCTTGGCGTACAAAACTTGCATTAAGGTAAAGAACATGCAGCCATATACTGCAACCTCAAAACCAAGTTCCTTAATGATCAGGAACCAAAGTAAACATTTGTTGTTTCACAGTAAATTAACTAACTGTCATAGGTCACATAATTTTGAAAAAAGAATCGCAATTTACTCAAATTTAAGAAAGGAACTGCAAAAGAAAAGAGGATTAATAAAAAAGAAGCAAGCAAGATGGGATCATGGATCATAGAATAGCATATAAAGAAGGCAGCAAGGATATAAAGCTTGTTAACCTCAAAGCACTGCTGAATCCAAAAGTACTACTCGATAAACTCAACAAAAAGAAAGAGAACACTAATACTACTCTGCTGTGTTTCTATAGCTTCTACCTCTGGAAGATTATAGGAACCGAAGGAAAAAGAAAGTAAGCAGTGGCCAACCAAGCACAATCCCCGTGCCATATTGACATGTCTCGTGGGTAACGTCGCTATTATTATTATTATTTATTATTACAAAAGCTACAGTGAAATCGCTATAAATTGATTTTTAGTTTGGATTGAAATTGGAATTTTATTTTTTATTTTTTATTTTATTTTTTATCTTAAGTTTCTTTGGCTTTTTTTTTTTCTCTCTCCACTAATGAATGGCATCCACGTTATTAAAGAAACATGTTTATCGTATCAAAGTAATATAAGTCTGGCATGTTGCGAGATCCAAATAAACTTGAATTAAGCATATTTGTTAACTCCAAACACCTTAGATCAGGTATATTACTAAACCTAACTAAACTTGAAACAGGTATGAATATCAAATCCAAACACCTTGAATCTGAGATGTTGTCGGACTTATCTAAACTTAGTAAAGGAGAAATGTTGCCAAACCCAACTTGTTGACATCCTCTTGTAAAAGCTGCATTGCTGTTCATAGCATCAAGGACAAAAAAATCAGGCAGATGTAACATCCGTTAGCTAAACAATGGGCGACAGCTCACAATTATACCATAACCACGTCTTATAGATTCGCTTATTAAGGGGTAAAAGACGTGAACAAAAGCACGCCCTATCTTTACAGGCATCCCTGTGATGGAAATGCGTTTATCAGCCAGACTACATAATGAAGTAGTAACGAAAAGAACAGGATGCCTCACCGTGCGATCGGGTTCTTCAGTTCTTATGCGTTCATTAGGACGAGCAAGCTTGGATTCAAAAGGAGTCCTAGGCCCCACTTCTCTAAACTCCTCCCATTCCTCGCGAGTAAGCATCCTAACTGTGCCTTGACCAACTGGGGCATTCTTAATTTTGCGCTCTATCATTTCTTGCGAGTGTGAATCATCATACTTGAGTTTAATTACCAGACAACAAAATCAATCCATTTAATTCAGTAATCAACAAAATCCAAACCAAACAAAATCGGAATGTCACGACATACCATCATGAGTAGCTTTGCAAAGAGTGCAGTTCCAACAACAGTGAGAATCATGGGCATAGTTGCAGTGTCAAGAAATGACAAGGATTCTGGAACCTGGACAAAAATGTCGTCTTTTTTTTAGACTTCTTCTTTCACCTCTTTATTTTCTCCAATTCCGTTATTCTTCTCTTCAATGTTTCCATGGCACCATGACGGGACAATGTTGTATGCAAGTGTCCCACATGACATAACTGCTTTCCCAAACCCTAAACCAATACCATACATGACTTTTCAAGACCAATAACGCAATTGATTCGGCCCCAAATGAATCAGAGAGAGAGAGGGAGAGAGGGAGGGATCTTGCATCATTTACAGACCTCCATTGCAGTGAGCTGGAGATTTTCTTAGGGTTTAAACGATCACGGAAAGACAGATGTAATAGAAGGAGAAAGTTCTGATTTTTGTAGTATTTTGTGGGCTGTATGCTTATTTTACTGCTTTGTGAGCCCAACCCATTAACTCAATCATGACTAAGCCAGTCGTGCTAAAAATCAATTTCTCTGATTTTTTTGTTTTAATGTGATAATGATAAAAATAAATTAAAAAATAAATGTATTATATTTTTGTTTTGTTCTGGTAAGTTTTTTAATTTGAGAATTTTTTTAATTTTATTATTTAACATTAAATTATTTTTTAATTAAACTTGAATTTTTAATTTCATAATTTATAAATCTGAAACATTAATTTATGTTGATTAACATAGTAAATTTACTATTTTATCCCACAAAAACTTCTACATTTCCCTTCATTGTGGATTAATCATAATCTTATGAGCAATTTGGTCTTTTAATAATATTGCTAATAATTTTTAAAAAACTTTTTTTTTCTCATTCTTTGATATTGAATTTATTGTGAAATAGACTTCATGAGTGATTTTTTTATTTTTTATATGGTTATCATGATCTTAAATAAATATTTATTTTAGTTTTGATGCTTGAAATTGCGAGCATCAATTTTTTATCATATAATTAAGTAAACATTGTTTAAAAAAAAGTTACTAAACTCAGTTGACTCCATAAATCAAGTTGTGGAATGATCGAAGTCATCTAATATGTTATCGTCTTAATACTTAATTTTAAAAAATTATCTTGATATTATTTTTATAAGTTAAGTCATGTTTTTATTAGTTATCTAGATTAACTTTAAATCCATGACATAAACCAATTCACATCAGGTCAACTTTAATCTAGTTTATTTAGGAACATACGCTATATAGAAAGTCACTTCAACTAGTTCTAAGATTTACTTGTTTTCTAAGTTTAATGACATTGTGAAAAAAATCCCCCATGTTTTTAAAATTCTTTTTTTATGTTTAAAAAAAATTAATCTAACCAGCGATAAAACACGAGTCAATGGATTAGTCTTTACATATAATTTGGGTTCAAGTAAAATTTATTTATTTATTTTATACCCCTATGAAATCTTCAATGCTCTAATTCTACCTTTTATAATTTCAAGTATCTAAATATCACTTTTTTGTTTTTTAAAATGTTTAAATGTTAGTTGTTATCATTAAATAGTTTGCCTTTTCAATAAAGTTCTTTTAGGTTTTTAAGTGCTTTGTTACGAAATATGATAACATAGATGAGAGTTTAATAGGAAAATATCATTATGAAGTGGTAATAAAAATGCAAAGAAAAAGAGATTTTTGTTACTTATTTAATAGTAAAAGGTAAAGGCTAAAGTTGAAACTTTATAAAGTTACAATGGAAACTATTGATATCCTAAAATATTCAAGTAGCTTGGAGACAAAGCATTTGTCTTGAATAATTTGTTGATCTCTTAGTTATAACAATCTGATTCATTCTTTCTAATCAAAGTAACTGAAGACAGGTGTCTTATATTTGCAAAAGATCATCTTTGATGATTTTAGAGACTTTTTTGCAATTAAGTAACTTTTCAAGAGAAAGTATAATAATAATACATAAAGATACTCTAAAAATAAATATCTTGTGGAGAATGAAGATTTCAAACTTTTTGTTTAAATGATTCATAGTCTAGTTATCATCCATAAGTCTTTTTGTGGAAAGAAATGGCTAAAGTATAATATTGCCCTAATAGTATTAAAAATGAAAATATCTTTGACATATATTAATGAGAAAAAATAACTCTAGCATATGTATTAATTGGGATGAAAATATAATGAACATTAATATCAATAAAAAAAATATGATGGATCATTAGAGAACTTTTATAATCTTAATAAGTACGAAGAGAGTATGATCCAAAATGTATTTGTGTCCGAAAGAGATGGGTCACTTTCTTAGCCAAGTCCATGGAAGGTTGGGTCATTCCCCTAGCTGAGTCTAAGGGAGCTTAAGTTTTATAGGGGGTTTTTAGGCCCTTAAATTTAGGTTTATTAGTAACACCCAAGTTTTTATAATATTTATACACAAAAATTTATAAAAATACTTGATACAATGAGTTTATCTTTGTTTTACATCAGATTAAATATGCCTAAAATAAACTTATTCAAACATGTATAAAAATGAATTTATAATTGTCCCATATTTACTCGTTCATCTTTTTCTCGTCCAACCTTTAAATGTGTTTGATGAAAATCATTCAAGATACCACCTAATAGCTTTCATCTAAGCAATGAAACGTTTATAGTTTATGGATTGCATAATCTTGGAATCATAAAATACAAACATGTAGGTTTCTTGTAAAGCTCATAACAATGTTTTATGGATTAGTCCATCAACATGTTATTTGTCCTGAGCTTTATATGAAACTCTATGAAATGTCATAATTTAGGATAACAATATTGAGACATGAAACATCATAAAGAAAGAAAATGAGTTTAGTCATCTTTTATCGATAGAGAACGAACCATGCTACTAACATTCATTGATAAAAGATACACCTTCTACAACCAATATCACACCTCTCCAAACAAATAAAAATACTCTTTGAATGTTTATTAAAAGATTCAAAATCCTGATAAAGAACGAGCCATGCTACCGACATTCATTGATGAAAGATACACCTTCTACAACTGATTAGTACTTAAAAGTGTGTTTTTATCATGGTTTTATATCATCATTTTGCACTTGAAGTATCAATAACTCCTTAACTAAAACATGTTTTATAATAAT